GAGGTGCGCGGGCAGCTGGAAATGTTTAATAAATGTCTGTGTGTGTGTGGTTATATACAGAGGTGATGTATCCTAAATGAATGATTGTTTAAACGGATAAGGCTCTGAGAGTTTCACATTAACAGTTATGTTCGTTATTGATTCATTTTATTAATTAATATAATAATTAATGTCAAGATCCAGAGATTAGACGGCGTTTTGTAAAGTGGATACGGAACAGCTGTCCCCCTTGAGTCTGAACCAGCTTTACTAACAGCATATGCTGCTCACAATTCATGCTGTTCAACGCCTAAAAGGGAAACCTTCCTTTTTTCAAGTGTGGGGAAATGTGTTTTTCCTGAATTGGTTGATTTGAAAGTGGATGGATGTTGACCCCGGTCTCAGCTGCAGCTGTCGGCGCGCTGTCTGTCCCGTACAGCTGTTCAAACGCGGTGATGTAACACCGGCGGACGACACAGTAAATACCAGAGGGTCTGCAGATATTAGTCCGTTAAGATGGACGTAATTAAACCCTCAGGGAGATGTCACATTGTTTCTGCAGCAGAAGTATTAAGTTCTTGTTTTCTGACGTTTAATAGGTCAAACCATCGTCATTTAATTGATTATTTAAACCGGTGCTTTTTACAGCTCTAAAGACTTTTTTTTTCAGGAATCAGGAAACCTTTATTGCCAATATGTCAGACATACAAGGAATTTGACTTGGCGGTTGGTGCGTAACAGCAGACAGTACGACAATGGACGACAAGACAACAGTGCACGAGGAATAAAATAAAATATGATGCTAAACGCGCCTGCAAATGAAAGTTTGGTTCACTGTACGTGACCATGAGAGATGAATGCGATTTCTCCATGCTTTGGCCAGTTGTAATACGATTAGAACATCTTGTGCAGTCATGGTGAATCTAACCTTGTGTGTTTGTGTGTGTGTTTGTGTGTGTCGGTGGGCAACTGCTACATAGTAACGGCTGACAAACGGCAGTCAATCACGTGAGCTCATGATGGCTGCGTCTTATCTGCAGGGCCCAGCTGGAGAAGGAGAAGAAGAGGAGAGAGGCCATTGAGCGGGAGAAGGACCAGATGGAGCAAGAGAAGCAGGATCTGGTGATGAGGCTTTACCAGTTTGAGGAGAAGACCAAGAAGGCGGAGAAAGGTGAGGGAGGGGGTGGGGGCCCATACATCCCATAACCCGTTAGAGCGGTGGGCGCGTGTGAAAGTAGTCATCACGCGTGTGTTCACGCGGGTACGTGAGCGCTAACAAGCCGACGTGCAAGCGGATGCTGTGGTGAATTAGCAAAGCGTCTTTTATTTACATTAGCTGTGAGCTCTTCTCTGTGAACAGCGGGATACCTGATGGTTAGCAACTTTCTTGACTTTGTGTTTTGATTATATGTTGATTTTATATATTGTCGAAACCAGCAAAAAAGCACTTGTGTTTTTGCTTTTACTTTGCTCGTGTCTCATCTACAGGACGTACGAGCAGCGTTCCTTAAAAGAAAGTTCTTTATTGCGTTTTATTGGTGACATTAGAAGCTGTAAGGCTCATAAGATACGTTACTCCATGGCTTCTCTTTTAGTCATAATTTATGAGTTTCCTGCTCATAAGTTATTGCCAAATGATTTGCAGTTTTTTTGTTTTTTTTAAAAATATTTTGGATTCCAGCTGATTGTGGTTCCACAGCCTGAATGGTAACAGAAACTGGCAGGTTCATAGACTGTTGTCTTTTGGCTTCACTATCTCCATTTTAGCGCTGGCAACATACCTCAGTGGAAGTTGGGCTCAGTTACGTCTTATCTGTTTTTAGACTTTTAGAAACACTCTGGTTTCACTGAGAAGATAATGTGTGCTAAAGCCCACAATGCTCAGATGTTGTAGGTGTCATTAAGACTTTATTATATATGTTATAACCTGTGAAGATTTACTAACAATTGTCCTGCACCATCACCATCACCTTTTGGGGAAAAAAAGAACCCCGGGCGTCATGGTTCTTGTTTAAAAACGTATCTGTCGTTAGCGTTGCTTGTCGGTAGCACTGTAGCTGCGAGCTTGGCGTCACGTCTGTTCTGTCTCCTCGCGGCAGATCTGCAGGAGCAGCTCCAGAGAGCCATAATGCTGGAGGCGGAGCGAAGGAAAGCCGAGGAGGAGGCCGCCCGCCTGGAGGCCGAGCGCCAGGCCGCCCTGCTGGCTAAAGAAGAGCTGGCCCGCCAGGCTGAGGACCAGCAGAAGAGTCAGGAGCAGCTGGTCAGTAGTTTAGACACATCTCCCTCAACGCTAGAACTGCTTTTTGAACAATCGATTTTAAGAAAAAAATGCAATCCAGCGCAGGGGCGGCGTGTTCAGCAGTGCCTGGCTGCTGAACACGCCGCTTTGTAGCGTCCAGCTGGACCACACCCAGCTACTGCAGCCGGACCGCCCACTCGGGCCCAAGCCCGGTCTGTGGACCACCCACAGGACCGCGTGCTGCCCTCTTTCACTCAGCCAGCTTCCTTCTCCACGTTCAGTCTTCTTTGCAACTCATCCATGAACCACTGCTCAAACTAAAACGATGCATAAGTTGCTCTTTGTTTCACACGTTTGGTTTTCTTTCTTTTTGCTCTAGATGAAGATTTACATTTCTTTGTACACATGTGACCGCTGATGAAATAAGTGCGTCTGCTGTTGTTTTCTATCAGGCTGCAGAGCTGGCCGAGCACTCGGCCAAGATCAGCCTGCTGGAGGAGGCCAAGAGACGCAAGGAGGAGGAGGCCGACTCATGGCAGCTGAGGGTGAGCGCTTAAACCGAGGTGCAATCCACTGAAGCACATTAGCAGCAGACCAGCACGGTTCACCCTGCCTGCAAGGACTCTTCGTCATGAACGCACGCACTTCATATATTCAGCTAAATGGAAAATCTGGTTTCCTGCCACATTCGCAGACAAAAAAGACCACGCTGACTGTCCCTGTGTGTGTCCCGCAAACTCTTCTTTGCAGGCCACCGAGGCCCAGAACGACCTGATAAAGACCAAGGAGGAGCTGCACATGGTGATGACGGTGCCCCCGCCGCCTCCCCCTCCGCCCATGTTCGAAGCCATGGACGACAACAGCGACAGCGAGGAGACCGCCAGCGAGGAGAACAACAGCTACCACAGCGCCGAACTGCACTCCGAAGGCTTCAACAACCACCGCAACGAGGAGGACCGCCTGACCGAGGCCCAGAAGAACGAGCGCGTCCAGAAGCAGCTGAAGGTGAGCACGGCGCGATCCGCGGAGATGATTAAATCCGCGCCTCGCACATGCAAGCTAGTCATGACACCAGGGATGATTAAATGATGTGCTTTCATGCTTGAATTTGTTTGTCGGAGGTTTTCACCCCCCCCATCTTCTTTTCCTCCCCCAGGCCCTGACCTCAGAGCTGGCTCATGCGCGTGATGAATCCAAGAACACCCAGAACGACCTTCTTCACAGTGAGAACGTCCGTGTCGGCCGAGACAAATACAAGACCCTGCGACAGATCCGGCAGGGCAACACCAAGCAGAGGATCGATGAGTTTGAGGCCTTATAAAAAATGTTAAAAAAAAAAAAGCCCCTCACCCTTTGAGAATGGTCACTACACCTCGGCCGTCACACGTGGACGCACACAAACACGCTTAAACTCCTGTACGACACACATCATATGAAGGTTAAGCGTCACTTACAAAGAGAGACACTCCTCGAAGAAAACTTAGTGCCAAAACCTTCTCTTCTCTTCGTAGTGTTTCGCCTCTTATTTGTGTATTTGGTTGCGTGTCATTTGATCAAATTCAGACCGAATCATTATTGTTTTTATCCAGAGGTGTGATGAAGTAGTGGGACTAGCCAAATTCTATTAATATTATACTATGTGCACATATGAGATGTAATCAAAGCCTCGCTTCTTTTTGATGTCTATCGTTCGTCGTGTAAGAAGAAAGACAGTTTTGTCGTTTATAGCGACCGCTGTATAAGCTGGAAAATGTTAGTTTTGTTTTACATTATATTTGAACACTTCCATTTTATGTTTAATATTGCTATACAGTAGTTTAAAATCATCCCTAGTTTGATATTTATGCTGTATATGGGACATCGAAAAGGGTATTTTATCTTGGTTTGTATATTTTTGCTATCTACTAATAATAAAAACATTTTATGTTTCAAAGATTTTATATATTCACCAAAATTATAGCCGTCTTCTGTTCTGTACACGTTAAAGACTCCTCCTTAAAGAGCCTCCTCGGTGGACTTTTCTCGGCAGGAATCCGTTTGTTTCCACTTCGTAGCCACGGCGCTCACGCAAAACCATTTATGGAAACCTTTTTCAGGGGGTGTCAAACTCATTTCAGCTCATGATTTCCACTCACATCACCCTTTGGACACGGAGCACAATGGCACGGCACCCTTTGACGGCCTGGTCCTGGCCCACTAAGCCGGTATCCCAGCAGCATCTCTCTCTCCTCGCTGCACACGGACTCGAGCAGCATCCACTGACTCTGTAATGGAAACGCTGGCCTTTGTATATGAACGGGATTTTATAATGAGGTGTTCAACATATTGGCAATAAAGACAAATCTATGATTATACGTAAGTTTGTACGTTGTACTCTGTATGACCAACACACCGTTGTCTTTGGCCCTTTTAGTTTTTACCCTCAGCATTTACTCAGTGAATTGGCAAACTGCATTTTTTATTTTGCAGTAAAAAACTTGTGCGTGGGCCTTTAATATATCTCATCTTTTATACTTGTCATATATTAGGTAACCTTAAAAACCTTTGGGTATGCTACTTTTAGCTAGACTAGGAAAAATAAAAGTTAAAGGCAATTATTTCTGAAAGCTGCCATTACATAATGTTTTTGTGCGTACTATCAACTAAAATATACATTTTAAAATCTATAAATCTGCCTATATGAATAAGTGGAAATTTTTTCTCAACATTTTCCTCTCCCAGCCCATTGTGTGTTTTTGCTGCTAAATTGTAAATCACTTTGTGTGGACTTTTTTGGCATAAATGGTTTCAGAAAAGTTAATTTATTTAAAATATAATACAAGCATTTCATGTCACATTCAAGGTTTGCACATATCCACATTTAAGCACGCTAACACTAAACTAAGATGGTCAACATTATACACACAAAGACAACATTCTCTGAGCATGACAAAAAACTATTCCTTGTTTTATTGCAAAGAAATACATAAAGTAAAAGTGTGCATAATTGTAACCACTTTGTTAGTTTAAGAAGAGGGATCATAAAGTTTGACTTAAATACTGTTAAATAAATATAAAATTATGTGTGAAATGAATGTTGTGTCATGTTCTGACGCTGATGCTGGGTTGAAACACCTGTTGGCGAGTTAAACACCAGCGCCCACGGTGACCCTGATGGAGTGGAGATGGAGGTTAACAGGGTTCCAGGTCAATGACACCACCGCTGCTTTTTTCGAAACCAGAGACCGAGCATGTCCTTCGCTGAGGCAAGAAAGGCTTCACTGTAAAGAAGGAAAAGCTGTGAAACCACTTCCTGTGAACTGGCTCCCTTTGTGAGACACATCCCAGTGTCTTTGAGGGATTTCATTTGCCGCTTGACTCCTCTAAAAGAACATTGCCCTGAGGAGAAATTGGATGTCAAATATATTTGTAGCCTCAGTTGATCGCACCTTCAACCCCTCTTATGGATACGCGTTTTCCCACAGCTGTGATCGGGGGCTGATGAAGTCTAAGAAAAAGTTCTCAACTCAGAGATCCACTCGCTCCATTTTCCCCACTGCGTCCAGCCACATGTCAGCGCCTTCATCAGCAAACTATTCATTAACCGATTGAAAAAGGTTGTGGGAATGTGCCTAACGAGCGATAGTGACATAGATGAGGTTGCCGAGGTCTGTCTGAGGCCCTCCTCAGGGGGGCCGCAGCGCTGGGTTCACACCGCCGTCTCACACTCACAATGGGGCGTCGTCGGGATGAACACCTGAACACAACACACACACAGAAATATCTACATAAAACACACCCTCGTGCTTATTGAACATGTGCACTCAATATACAATGCATTCATACACACACACACACCTTGCCGTCCTCCTGAGACTAAAACACACACACACACCACACAGTGAGGTGTTTACACGCTGACGCATGTGTTCTGGCTGGTGTTTGCATTAATGGGAAGGGGTTTGGCTCCGTCGATAAGGACACTTAGGTGATTATTGCTTTGTGGTGGAGCGTTAGACTGCAGGATTGTCATGGAAGTTCCAAAAAGATGTGTTCTTCTGACCTCTAGTGCCGAAACGTGATGCCGTTTTTTCCCTTTCCAACACTGTTTTTGAAGTGGTGAGTAACCAAGCGCATGTAGTACTTGATTTACTTAAATGTTGCTACTTTATACATCTACACCTTATTTTGCAGTGGAGATATTGTTCTTTTAAATATGGCTGTTAAACACAAAACCCATGATAAATGTATTAAACTTGATACTGTACTATAGTATTGTACCACAAGTATGAAAACACATCATTCAAATGTACATGCAGTAATTAGTATTAATATTCAATCATATGATATACTAAATTATTCTACACCTCTCTGGAAGGGGCCGTGCTCTCCAACACGTACTTACAGTTCTTTTTACTGCAATGAATACTTAAATGTAGGACTTTAATTTCCAATAGAGCATTTATGTAAATGTATCTGTAAAAGCATTTAGCTTTGTGAAAAATGTCAGAAGTTCCGATTGAATTGTTGGATATCACATATGGCACATCTGTAACACGTTAAAGCACATGAAACCACGCATAGAGTATATTATAATCTACCACATAGGATATGTATTTTGAGCTGTGGTATTCTTGTAAGAGCAAATTGGTTTTGTCTTTATTAATAAAACACTGAGAGGATGCAAATCTTAAAAATCGAGTAAAGTTTAATCAATTTTATTTGTAGAGACCAAAAAAGATTCATTGTGTGGCTTAAAAAAAAAACTTGCAAATAAATAAATAATAACAATCAATCAAAACACAACACCTTTCTTTAACAAACTGACATCACGTAGTGCTTTTGTGCGAACCATCGACTACGCCGGCATCCATTTAAAAAGTGAAAAGCATGTTATCGGGGCAATAAACCAGGAATAAATTATCTGGAGACATGAGTCAGTCTTTGAAAGTAGCTGAGCTGCAGGAGCTCACCCTGGTTGTTGGAGCTGAAATGGTCTCCGACCAGCAGATCTCCGTCATCTCGCTCCATCGAGCCTCCATCAAGACTCTCCGCCTGGTGAACAAAGACATACAAGAGAAGGAAATCAACTCCATAACTCAGTTATTATAACGCAAAATGGAATCCCTCAATGGAAACCTTCTGGGTTCAATATTATAAACAGTAGAATACCAACTAAATATATAACACGTGAACAATTTCTGCAGGGCATTTGAAATTTATATTCCTGCAGATTTTAAAATGACTGCTTCTACTTTTCTGCAGTTCAGTCTGAATTAGCAATATTCTCAATTTGTCTTCATCAATGAAGATTCAACGAATCGTGGGAACAAAATAAATCTCGGAAAAGAGTTTAATAATTTGCTCAACATAAACACATTTTTTGATTATTTCTAATAGAGATTTTGATTGATACCAATCCTGTAGGTCTACGTTAAATATGAACTTTGAAACACATGGAAGCAGATTCCCAAAAAGGACACAAATTGAGCCCCCAGAACTTTAAGATCACGGTAATTGGCACATGTTGTTGTTGAAAGCTTTCCCCCTCGACTGTACAACATCAGAGCTCATCCGTTATTACCTTTGGACAAAGTGGGTACCAGTTAAAGAGCTGGGAGTCCGTGTCCTCGAATCTCCATCCGTCCAGGGGGACAAGGACTTCTCCGAGAGACACTTTCCTTTTCAGGGGTCCGGAATGCCACACGGACACCTGCAGTCTCTTGCCAAACAACAGGTGGCGCTCTATGTGGTGCTGTCAGGAACCAGAAGAGACCTTTGTTTAATTTCATCACGAGACAACACAAATTGGTGTTTTACAACAGAAAGATAAAGCTTTACCTTTAAAACTTCATTAAAAACCGGATGAGTCGTGTTTTTCTTGCACGTGGTCTTCATTTTACCGCCGTTTCCCGGCAGCATGTAGAGTTTGACGTATCTGCAAACCAACACAAATTGCACGATGCTCAGGTTTTGATGCAGAATGCCCGACCCCCCCTCCTCCTCCTCCTCCTCCCAAAAAAGGAAAAGGTCACGGTGAACACGATGCAGAGAGTGAACTGTATTGTCCTCACGGATGACACTTCTTCCTCCGGGTGTCCCCGTAGGGGAGGTTCCTGCAGGCCCCGACGGTGATCTCCAGGCAAGAGGTGTCTGTGTTGAAGGCCAGAGCCAGTTCCAGCTCTCCTGCCGTGCTGATGCCCTCAAAGAGCCCGAAGTCTGCGTTGATGCTGCTGCTGCTGCTGCTGCCGCCCTGAAGGTGGCGACGCAATCAAAGCGATTAGTGTCAAAGCGCCGGACAGACGACACCATCTGACGGACATTGACAAGACTATTCATGACGTACTTCACAATATTTTCTTCTTCTATGAGATAGTTCAATGTAGGGAAAAAATAAAATCATGGTTCAGGAGGAATACTTATAATACTGTGTTTTTTTTACTTTTAGTGACATACAAGGATACTAATGACTCACAGGATGTTGCTTGGGGACTTTACCACCAACAAAAAAAAATCAGCTTACTCTATTTCCTCCAGAATACCCAGAACCGCAGGAGGTCTCTTCTTCCGCCCTGGTTGAGGAGCCTTCCTGGTCACCGTCTTTGCTTTTCTTGAACAGGTTTGGGAGACTGGGTCCTTTAAAGAGCTAAAAACAAACAAAAAGGATAATTTCTTTATTGATAGTTATTTACTAGGGGACCAGTAGGGACCAGTAAGACTATGTGAAGCTACTTTGAGGGCCTTGTTCAGTGGTCTCATCGGACTGAGGAAAAAAGGAGGAAGGTGGAAAGGCCTCTTTAAGGCCCTCGTGCCGGATGATTCATTCGTATGCGTCGCAGCGGACTTACATTGCGAGATTTGCTGATGTCCGTGTCGGAGAGGCTCTTTTGGGTGGTGTAGTTGAAGGCCGACTCTCTGCGGTTGTCACCAACTCTCAGCAGGTCTCCTCGCACGTCGCTCTGAGAAGTGGAGATCTCTGCAGTGAGACAAGGAAAGTCAATTTTTTTATCAGAGCAAATAAAAAAAACAATGAAAAAATGAATTTACTCAAGAGAACATTGAAAATGTGTTCACCCCCTGGTGATGAACTAGTTGTCTATTTCATTGCCTTATTTTACTGCAGAGACAGTTCCGTTGTGGTTGTTGCTGGGTTTGTGTAATCAGTGCATCACGTAGGAAGTGATTACATCCAAAGGAAGTCATGTTAGTTCTGAAAATGTATCACCAAGAAGCTCTCTGGAAGTTTTTAGTTTGTATTCTGAAAAAAGACCATGTTGAATGGCACTTACTTCTAATGTGACTGGTGAAGGACACCATCAAATCTTCCATGGATTTGGTAAAAGGTTTTGAGTTTTTCAGATCCTGCAGATAAAAACAGCATTAATTAAAGATCAGTATGTAAAATAAATGAAATAAGGCTTGATACACATTAGTATTTTACCCCGGATCTGCTGGGAAACTGCATATCCATGTAAGGGGGAGGAGTGGGAGGCACAATTGATATATGACTGTGAAGAAAAATTTAAATAAATGGTTACCATGTGTTTTATGTTCATGCATCTCATTCAAACGTTCAAAAACAAGATTCCTCGTACCTCAGCACGTTGTAGCGCTTCAATATTTTCTCCCCAACCATCTCATATTTGTCTGCGAAGAACATGAATAAAATTGAAAAAACATGGAAGTTGTAGACCCAAAATAAATAGCAAACGGCTTAAAGAAACACAGACCGGATCGTCCATATTTTATGCATAAATGCGGTTGAACAAGAGGATAATCAAGTGAGTAGCATTAATTAATAAAGGTGAATGTTAAAAAAGGAAACAAAGAGTAAATATCTGCGGGAGTGCAAGCAAACCTGTGGTGACTGGAAATTTCTTCGCCCTCTGCTCCAAGAACCACTCTCCAGACCTGAACTTCACGTCCCTACGAAGAAAAGAAGCACTCATGATTACACATTTTAGATCTAGGGCAAAACTAACTAAAGTTACAGCATCATGTCTGCTTATCTTTAATTGAGTTATTTTGTCATTTGAGAAAGAGGATAACAACTTTTTTCGTTAAATCTGCAATAACTGGTTGTTTTCCCTTTAGCTGCTAAATGCTCAACTGTTTGGAGCCAGTTTACGTTTTTTTTTGTTGCTGCTCAAGTCAACAGTTTACTGCAATGAGGAACAAGGTGTGAGCTCTGCAAGAGTAAATTCAAAGATTTGAGGTTGACGCCCAACAACAATCTGAAACTAACTACAGACATTCATTCTATGCCAGTTTCACATTGAATACATTTTACTCATTGAAAAAAAAAAAAAAAGCCCACTTCAAAGTTTAAAGAGAGTTTAAAGAGGCCCAACTTGAGTCCACATGAATGTCTAGTTTTTTTTAATCATAGTGAAAAGCCACGAATGGAGTATCGCAAGTCAACCCGAGACAACAGTCATCTTGTGCCGAGCACCATTCAGTCACATGGTTCTCTTTGCATCGAGCGCATAGTGGGAGGGGCGGGGGGCTCTGTACTGCACCTGTAGGCGTGGCAGACCGTGCACTTCCAGCCCGTCGCTCCCACGCCCACGCGACACTTTCTGCAGATGCGGTGGCTGCAGCCGTCGCAGACTGCGCCCGAGTTCCAGAACTTTCCCAGGGGCCTCTGGCAGCGGGCGCAAGTCCGCTCGCCGTACTGCCGGCTGAAACTCTTGGCTCCTCGCCGTCGAAGCTCCTGGAGCTCGCTCTTCATCCTCCTGAGGTGACAACAAAACATTCTTGAACTATTTCTCTCCCCCCCCCACAAAGAAAACACTCAAACCAGGGACGTGCAGTTCGGGGGAGGCAGGAGGAGTCGGAGCCTCGTCGGGAAAAGTTGTTGGGAAAATTTTAAATGTGGAAAAAAAAAAGAAGGTGCGTGACCTCTGGATGAACCCATGCTGAGAGGATGATTTGTGAAGCGGGATCTGGGTTTTTTTCCCCCCAAAGGACGTCGTGTTGTGAAGGTTATTGCTTAAACAATGTTTCTCTTCCATCTCCGTCAATCATGAATGACAAAGCTACCTCTAGTTTGTCACCTTAGGGTATAAAACCTGAAGCCAAAGGAAGAATCCTTGATGCAGGTCTTGTGTGTGTAAACTCTTCTCCGTTTAATAAATGTCCTTTTCAGTGATTTCACAGTAAAATGTATCTAACAGAAGTAAATATGAATATTTCACCACTGACCCGTGCTACGATTATATTATTTTCTATGATTCCAATCAGTTCGAGCATTTTTCTAATGAAAGGTGGTCGGGCAGCGGCTGCGAGTAGCGGTGAGACAAACCAACATAAACTGTCATAACAACGTGTTGGGAAATCTGACTCAAGTCGTTGCGTCACCGGCCACAAGCCTCACGTCACAGAGTCAAACCAAACTTCCTTTCAGTTAGTCATCATTACGGTTTAAAGTCTAGATGAAATATACTGAAAGACACAGTAGAAACCAAACAGATTTTGCTACCAGAATTCGCTTCATTTTTTACTATTTATTTTTTACATACATTGAATTATTTTGGTTCCCCTTGTGTGTTGGACTCACCTTATCCTGGCCTCTTCAATAGCGCGCAGCTGTTTGTCCCTCCGAAGAACATCCAGGACGCTTTCTCTCTCCAGAGCTTGAAGCGCATTTAAATCCATCTTTAAAACGGCCGTCTGGCTCTGAACATCTGTATCACTCACTGGTCCTCTTCTCTCTCTCTGCCTCGCTCTGCTTCACCCTCGGTTGTGTAGTTTCGGTTTCCGCCTCCTTTTTCTTTCTAACCTCCCCCTTATCGAACCAACTCCTCCTCTTTAGTCCGCTGGAGCTGAAGGAGTAAAGAAAAAACTATATGAGTCGGTAAGTGGTGTAGAAGACTCCATCCACGTCAGAGCCCAATATAGACGTCCTGAGCAGATACTTGTACCGTTGGATTAAACTGAAAATAAACCCTCTTTTGATGCTCTTTTCTCTAGAGGAGAGTTAGGAACTACAATTTGCAACTCAGCGACGCCAACGGTCCGTTTGTGTAACCTCAGACACTCCACAACACAAGTTCTGGTGATATTTAATTCCTTCTACACACTACTTTTGGGCAGAAACTTAAGTATGAAATCCTGATTTTCTGAAACTACTCAGGTCCTCATCCCCGTCCCCCCCTCTATTAATTCAACCCGTCGCCTGGCAAACCACCACCTATTCCCCAGCTGCAGGAGGACCAGTGATGCTTCACTGATGGCAGAGCTAAAAAAAAACAACAAATCAAATGCCAACCTTTGCATTATTGATGGCTGACGTGCGTCAGTGTTCCAGCTTGGTTCTTTCCTCCTTTCGTTGCAGGTCACTGCACTTAAATTCACATTCAGCTTAATATGAATTTTGAATAGAGAGTCATCCCCTGGAAGGGTATGTTTATTTCAGAGGTATAGTTTGAGGTTTTGGGAGGAAATTTAGATTAAGGTATCAACCTGGCCCGACCTCTCACCAGGATTGCCAATAAAAAAAAAAGAAAAAGTCTGTCCCAAAATGACAAACCATTCCGTTCAACTGATGATACAAAGAGGGACTCGGTTTTTAAACGTCTCAATTCGGACCGTATCACTTTCCCTTTTGGGCAGCAGACGAGTGGAAGGCGGCAGAGGTCAGCTTGACTCGATAGAGAAGAGCCTGTCCTTGTTACTATCCAGAGGCCCAAGAAAACAATCAGTGTCGGCTGTAATTAGGCCTCACGGCTCACAGAGGGACACATCTGTTATCTGTCCTCTGCCGGCGCCTGAAGGGATCCTCTCCAGTCGTAAACACAGATGAGCAAAGACGTGAAGAGGCTCAGCACAGCAAGGTCGCAGTGCAGTGAACGTTTTGCATCAATGGCTCTCGCTTTGACAGGTTTTTATTTTTACTTTGATAGAAAATGAACATCACCGTCACCACTCATTTCACACACGCCTCTGTGCCGCGCAGGCGCAGACCGTGCGTGAGAACAGCGGGTGGGCGCGTCTCGGCCCACCGCGCGCGGCGGCAGTGGAAGGACACCGGAACCGATCGCGTCGGGTCCCCAAATATGGACTCTCTGCAAGAGACCCGGGCACGAGGTCTCTGGTGCGTTTCCCAGCAGGCCTGCGCGAGCCACCGCACGCCCCGAGCGGGGCCCTGCAGCGTGTGAACGCGCACCGCCGCGCTCATCTCCGCACGCGGTTTCTAAAAATAAGAACGGTCTGTCACGCACGCACGCACGCCACAAGGCGGGGTCCTTTATTGTAGAAGAGAATGACCTGTTCTTCTAAAAGCGGCACGAGCTCACGCACACTAAAGGGTTGCGTTTACGGTCAAGGGGGAAACATGTTTTTTTTTTATTAAAGCGTGTATGGCAGTTAAAAAGGAGAGGTCAAAAGTCATTATGTAATTATTGAAAATTGCTTCCAACTTAATAAAACTAATTGAGGTGGCTTAATTAGGTTAAGCAAAGATACGATTATTATTATCGCCCAGAAAGTAAAAAATAGAAAGAAATGATGTATATTAGTTAGTACATTCAAAAAGGGCTAGAAAAGAAGACCTCAGGTTGTGTCATCTCCAGATGTAAATGCCTCAGGCAACACGTGACCGAGCAGGACGTCGGTACACCTCGCACGGTGAAGCGCCACACCGGGGGGAAGAGGAACCGGCGCGCTGCACGGAGAGAAGTTCTCCCACGGGGGACACGGCGTACCCATCAAGTCACTCTGGATTCCTTCCTTCGACGGTGACTCAACTGTGAACCGCGATTGCAAAACGTTTGCTCAACACAATCTCCCCCCTCTCCACACACACACACATACACACACAACTCCCCGACGGGAGAGACACGAGAAGTAGGTCACGGCGGAGATAACGAGCGCGCTGCACGATGTGAGACGTTGTGAGATGTTGTGAGATGTTACCTCCAGGCGCGCTGCAGTGCTGCGGGGAGGTCAACCCGAGGAAGCGGCAGACTGCGTGCACGGAGGAAGCCCTTGTGCAGCTCGGTTTCCTTCTTTTGTGAGTTCACACGGCGGGTGGGGGGGAGGAGGGGGATGGGGGGGAGGAGGGCCGACGGAGAACCTGCTGGTTGGTTATTTCTCACGTTTGGTCGGAGACTTTTTTTTTTGCGCGGCCTCCCTCCTGCGAGCTGTGATCTCATTGCGTGATGGGGGAGTGAAGAATAAAGAGGATTCAGACCACAAGGTCAGTGTAAAAGAGTTTATGGAAGAAGTTGAGTTTCGGACAGTACCCCCTCCCCCCCCCCCACACACACACACACACACTGGAATACATGATGGAGGAGACTAAACAAGTCAAGCGTTTCTAATCTTCACTTCAACCGCCGCTGCAAAAGATGAAAACATAGAACAGGAATTGTGTTGATCCCAGGATACAAGTTCAGCAGGCAAACACACAAGCAAAAAACAAAAAAAAACACTAATTGGCTGAATAGTTGATTACTGGCTAGAACAACTGTCCTCGTCTCCAGCATAAACTAAAAGTTCAGATTTGCTGCAACATTAAGACGTGAATGTCTGTGGTGACACAAGAGAACTTGTGAAAACAGAATTAAAAGAAACAACCTGAAGCAAGTCTCCATTTAGTCTCTCAGCGTTGGTGGAATGATCCTTTGTGGGGGGCGAGGGGGGGTTTACACATCAGCACCCATGCATGCAGCTACCACTCAAAACTGTTTATCTCCAAAACTGTACTATTAACCCAAATTAAATCAACGCTACTGCCGTATAAAGAAAACACAAAAGTAAAAACCTTGAACGTAAACATCTGGAAGGCTTCGTTTCGAACAATACTTATTTCTGTTTGTTTTCCCTTCAATTCTCTGGTGTTTTTGAGGCCAGCAGAGAAAAAATGTTTCCAGATTGTCGTGCGTGAGCCAACAAAAGCAACTGTAGTATAAATTGATCCTTATTTTGTTTAGAAATGTTCTTCTCCCCCTTTTATTTAGTTCACATCCAAGGAGGCACCGTCTTTGGTTCAGAGCTGCGGATCTCAAAAAGCTATAAAATCATCCATAAAAAAAACATCCTGAAAAACACACATATACATCTATGACACATTGACTAATTATACACTTTGTGGGGATTCAGACATATCACACAAAAAAAAAACACATGGAACTTAATGTTGAGCTCAATTTGTTTTTTGGGCCCATAAAACTTTGTCGAGCGAGGAACCCGTTTACTGTGTCCGTGTGGACTGAGGCCCGTGGTGCAGACCAATATGGCCTCCGCTGGAAATCAAAGCTTCACGTCACGCAGTCTGCAGCGCCGTCTTGAGCCGCAGCGTCTCCTCCACCGATAACCTGCCGTGGTAGAAGCTGAGTCCTGCCAGGAGCTCGACGTCTCGCACGCGCGCCGCGTGAAGCTGCAGCCAGTCTTCCACCCACGCCAAGTCCGACCCGCTCTGAGGGGGGAAGGTGAACAAAAGAAGAAATGGGAAGATGTTAGCCGGTCCGTACAGAAGTCGAGTGTTGTGTGTAGGGAGGAGTCATGGGGGGGTCGGAGGGGGTCACTCACAGCACAGCTCTCGGTGTGGTCGGGCCTGTGGGGCAGGATGAAGGACTTGGCCTGCAGGGGACCCTCGCAGTCATCGGGGCCGAAGGATGAGTTCCCGCAGCTGGTGAAGATCAGGAAGAAATGTGTCGGGATGGGAGCTTCGTTCCTGGAGAAACACAGAAAAAAAGACTGCTTCAACCAGTGGGCTCGATTTATTTGATATCCCACACAGATGTTTGCCAGTTGTGTTAAAGCCCCTAGAAAGTATTTCAGATATGACAGCAAACTCAAGAAATGTGCATTTTGGGCCGTGGGCTCAGCAAAACAAGTTATTTCAAAATGTCACTTTGGGGGGATGGAGTTTGCCAGATTGATCGTGTATCGCTAACCTACCCCGAGATCGCTTTTATCGCGTCAACGTTTCCATCATAGTCTTCATCAAATATCGGCCCGCTCATGACGTTAACTCCGTTCAGCTGTTGTGAATATTTTGGAAGAAGGACATCGTGGACATGAGTCCAAACATCTGCAGGGGAAGGAAAACACACACACAACAACCTTTTAGTAGCCCAAACTTACTGCCGACTAGATGCAGCTGATACAACGGTGTGAGGTGTTGAGTATTAAAATGCACGCTTGTGCTAGAATGAAATTACACTTGAACTATAAATAATGGGTGAAGGCCGCTTAAAGGCCGGATTGCACAATCAACATGTATTTTAAGTCACAACACGTTACATTACAGGTCATTTAGCTGACGCTTTTATTCAAAGCGACTTACATTGCATTTTTAACCCATGGCTCTTTACATTTTTGCCCGGGGAGCAGTTAGGGGTTAGGTGTCTTGCTCAGGGACATTTCAACATGGGACTCAAACCACCAACCTTGCGGTTCGCAGCGCACCCTTGCTACCCCTGCGCCACGTCGACCCACCAGCGCACAGACATGTTGCAAAAAGATGCACTTCAACAGGAACCACCTGTTCCCCATTTTAAGAATAACATGTCCATACATAGAACTACGCCTAGAACTTATATGCAAAACCTTTTCTTTTACATTATTATTATTATCTTGCACACATCTTGCACACATCCTGATATGTAGAACTCATGAACAACGGGAGGCGTGTTGATCCGAGAGCCTGGAGGGGTGGACATCCCTGTGCTCCAATGGGGCTCTCCGAGGGTTCTAAGCAGGAGCCGCCTCCATCTTAATGACCAATCAAAAATGCTCTTAGCGACTATATCATTTGAGCGCATTTTGTATTAAGCGCCTTCTATCATGTTGTTGTTAAACTGCCTGAAATATGTTAAACTGCAGGACACAATACTCTTGTTGCAAATAAACTTTGTCATATTGCTTTGATTTAAGTCTCCAGTCTAGTCCTCGTTTTGATCGCACGACAGATCGGACTGATGCGTGGAGGTGGACGCGGTGTGGGCACAGTGTCGGGCCACCAGGGGGCAGCATCTGCCAGCTCATTCATAGATAGGCCTCAAACATTCACCAACAGCAGTAAGGGGGGGTGGGGGGGGGCCTTCCAACGGGACCTACTGAGAGAGAGTTTCCATTTAAAGTGTCTGGGGACCAGAAATGTCTGGGGAAAAGTGAATCTTATTGTAAAGGAAAACTTCCCAAGGATTAACTCGTGAAATGTTCCTCCCTCAATTCCTTTGATGTGCTTTAAATAAACAGTTTGACCAAATTAAAGTACAGCAGTCCGACATAATCACAGTGGTTAGATCTTTGGACTCCTGTTGTGTGTATTTAAGAACCAAAAGCACGGCCTGTGTTTAAGAGAAAATATATTATACTGTGCAAAGAAATGGCTCCCGAGAAGAGAAAAACCACAATACCTGCACTTGGAAAACGAGTGTGAGCATGGCGTCGAGTCTAGAAGTGATCCAGAGTACGTCCTCAGCCATCCAGCTAATTGAATTGTTCAGCTCTCATTCAGCTCAAAGGCTCCCATTCAGAGCACAGTGGAATTTATCATTTAACTTGTGAATCACCGTGCTTCCGCCTACAGCTTCGGGTGCAGCCCAGAAAACCTGGGGGCAGATAGATATTCTGAAGACTGACTCACCTTTAAACGCAGGGAACATTGGCACCATGTTGCTTGTTATTAGAGAGTCTGTCTCGCGCCCGTTGGTACTCAAACCTAAAGATAGAAATGAGAAACACTAAGTGCTTGTTGTAAAGGTCTGACGTGCACTGTGGAAAGAAGCAGTGAAGAACTGGTTGGGACAGAAACTTGATTACAAAGGAGTAAAGTAATTCACAGCTGCATTTTGATCAATTCATTTTTAAATAGATTTTCTCTAAATATGCCGGACAAGATTGAAAAAAATGTCCCTTTCAATTCCGATCAATTAGTAAGTAATCTTTGCAGCTCAAATTGAATCTGACAGCACAAATCAGAGTCATGGGGGGAAAAATAAATGAATAAATAAATGTCTAATTTTGGTAAATCCAACTTTCTCTGAGCTACTTCATCTGAAACCTACATTTTATTAAAAATACAACAAATCCACAGCGTCTCGTTAAGGGGGGTTGGGACCGTTTTGCACACAAAAGGCTCGGGTTTTTCACTTTAACATGAGAGTGTGGCTCTGAAACACGTCACCTTGAATTTAACACCTGGCTTGGGACGGCGTGCTATGACCCCCCCCAGCAGTTACATACGTACACACACTCACACACACACTCACTTGGGGGATGCAGCAGGCCGAAGGACAGAGCGGAGTTGTTTCTGTAGCGCAGACAGTGCTGGCTGGAGGCCGGTGGGACGCGTATGTCAGCATGAACGCACTCCGCCAAGCCCGGGCCCAGGGGTCGCACTCTGGTCTGGGAGAGAAGAAGGTCAGTCGGGGGGGGATTGAAAGTTTGGCTCGGCTCGGGGTTTTTAATTGGTCGGTGTCAGCGAGGACGCTGCCGCGTCTCCGCACGATCGGTTGGCTTGGTTTTGCGCGTTGGCCATCTTAATCTCCATCGAGTTCTGCAGGTAGTTGGTCGTGAACCCAAAAACTGGATGGATGAAGAGTTTTGACAAATTTATGAAAGGGTTTATGTTCTCCTAATTCACGAGATTCATGTTCTGAGGATAATAAAACATTTTTTATGTCAATTCATCCAATTGTTGTTGAGGAGTTTTAATCTGGACTGGTACGATATTACCATTCATGGAGCTGTGCTGCTATAATAGCTAAAAATGGCCAACAATTTGTTTACAGGGGAGCCCACAATAAAAAGAATGTAAGTAAATAAGTAAAATCCCTCTTTGTGAAAAATATCTGTGTGCAAGAACAGATGTGTGGCATGCCCTTATGCTTTCACTGAATAATTGACTTTCTATGTGCAAATTAGCTCGAAGCTACCGTCAAATAGAGCCGCTGACTTTGTCAAGCAGTTTTCTGTGGCTGTACAAATGGGTTGACGGAAATACAGATGAAAAAAAAAATCCAAACTATAATTCCATCAAGACGAAATGATGAAAGAGGATAAAGTGCAACCATATTCCGCCTGCGCTGCGTTTCAGGGGAAAGCCTGATGGGAATAAATCCTCGCTAGCTTCATCATTCAGACGGAATAGTACAGCAGTGTAAACTCTCACGGGAATGTATCACCCTGCCTAAAGTCATGACTTACACAAAACCTCCACCGCATAACGAAAAAGACAAGAAGTGTTTGAGCCAAGAAGAGCGCAGGAGATGAGTAACAGCTGCTCACGGAAGGGATTCCGCCTTTCGAAAACCAATCGCCGGCCAATGCAGCAACCGCAGATGAAACAGAGCAGGGACCGAGCTGTGTTTATAGAGAAAAGACGGCTCCGAGCAGCTCACCGGAGGCCGGACGGTGTACGACACCCACAGGGCCATGAGGCGGTCCTTGCTGTATCCGTTGAGGTAGTCGGAATGGTAAAGAAGACAAAAGGTGGCGCCCGATTGGACGACTCCGGGGTTGCCAAAGGGATGGTGGAGGTGACGTAAACTGGCTTTGACAACTAAAATGGGGGGAAAAAAATGGATAATCGACACACTAATTTTTCCCAAGAAAGAAATAGAAAAATCCAACAGTACTCACTGTGATTCATTGTCGTGAGATTTCTGGTTATAGCGATCACCTAAAAAAACAACACGGAGAGAGAAACGTGAACTGTAACACCAGAAAGCGTCACGAAACAAGAGTCCCGGGCCATGTGAGGTCGGTGAGGTCATACATGCAGGATAAACTGTGCATAAATACAAAAAACACAATGGCCAGGCTAACATGCTAATGTTTAGAGGGCATGTTAACCTGCTAATTTTTGCTAATCAAAACCCAACACCAAACCTGGAGGTCGATGGAAATGTCATTGGCTTTGTAGTTATTGAGTATGTTAAAAATATAACTGCTAAAGTATTTATTAAAAAATACAATTCATTCCGAGGAGATAATGAATGTGCGTACTTCTGTTGAGATGAGATGTTAACACTGGATAAGTGAAAACTCACTTTACCCTCTGGGAACATCAATATATTTATACGGTTTCATGGTAATACAGCCAATAGCTTTTGAGATGGTTCAGTCTGGACCAGAGAAGTGTTCTAACCCAACCGAACACGCGCTGTCCTGACCTCAATAACTTTGTCGACGCGTACCTCGGAATCGTTGTGCAAATCGCAGGCGCATTGCAGGTCGTCAGCGGGGACGGGGTCACCGGCCTCGCACTGGGTGTCATAGGAGAGCTGTGCCGGGTGGACCGGCAGGTGGAAGGGACGGCTCAGGAGGTGGTTCAGACTGCCATGAGTGCCGTTGTTTGGAGCGGGACGAATACCGAGAAGATCTACAGGAGAAGGAAAGATAGACAGTTCATTCTGTATCACACACACACACACACAGTGGACGTAACCGTGCACGTTAGCATTTTTGATACACTTTCGATCTCATGAATATCATTCGCTAAAATAATATTTTAAAATACAGTAGAGATACAAGGATCACATAGATTCCAAACTACAAAGGAGCTAAATTACGTCCATGTGATGTTTCTTTATATCGTGTTTTGTGCCACCAATGAGACACAAATGTCTATCAAATTTTACAGTATATTGGGAAGTCATATTCAACGACCCATAATTGAATTATCTGAACAAACTACTCCGAGGAGAAAATCAATGAATGTCCTCTGTCGGCTACTAACATGTTAACTGTTGGAGTTTTGAGACTTTCTGAGTCTAAAGTTCCCCACTTTAGTGTAGTTATGAGCAAATGTCAACGTCATACATGTGTGTTACTCTTTGCTTTTAAACACCTGGATTACTTGCTCTTTTTTCTGTTTGACGTGGCTGCTTTTTATTTCCTGTTGCACTTTTTGTGGCGGCACCAAACCAATGGTAATTTGGTGCAGGGCAAAGGACATCTGTTTCCTTTCGGAACTGAATCTATTTTGCAAGAACAGTATTTCCCAGCAGATGGATGTCAAGACAGTAACCTACAGAAACGGTTCAGAAACACCGTTTCTGCTTTGGTAATTTGCCTCTATGGATGCTCAGGTCTTAGTGGCTGTGATTGTTCTCAACGTCACAACCCGTCGGTGCATATGTCACCTTCATTAGAGGCAACTGCAAGAAGGGATCCACCGTATGCAGTGATATTAAAACCATATTTAGAACATGTGTGGGATTATCATGAAGGTAAATATTGAGCCCATTGTCAGTCACAGTAATAAAAGACTAACGAAGAAGCAGTAAAGGAGGATAAAGTACACTTTCCTTACCGCACATTAGGTTATAGATTTCAATGTTTTCAAATGGAGGCACAACCGTCTTTCTTTTCAATCCTGGACCGTAGCCGATGAAGATTGCCTGAAAAGCGAAACACATTAAGATAATTGCATTTATTTTGTGCTGTGAACTTTCAAAACCGCAGAGGGAGGTTTAATTTAAACCCTTTCTGCAAATAACACAACGTCTAACAACCTTGGAGATTCAGGCCGGGTGGAGGGGGGTGTTCGGGGATATTTGTAGGCGAGCGAACTCTATTTTAAGCATACTTGTCGCTTCTGTGTGTAAACATTAGTATGAAGTCAGAAGTCTGCAGCTTGTCGGCTAAATGAACCACGTCAAATTCCGGAGTTAACCATGTGCGGAAACATATCCTGACGTCTCGTGATGACTAACACGGAGGTGGGCAGAAACAAACACATTCAAAATATAACATCTATTCACAGCAGAGAATGTGAAAGTGGAGATCAACTTCTCCAAACTACTGTAACAACCGAGCTCCAGTAGAGCGAATACAGATATATATTATGTTAAGACTCAATGTCAACTCGGGCGGCACGGTGGCGTGGTGGTTAGCACTGTTGCCTCACAGCAAGAAGGTCCTGGGTTCCACTCCACCCAGAGGCCTTTCTGTGTGGAGTCTGCGTGTTCTCCCCGTGTCTGCGTGGGTTCTCTCCGGGTTCTCCGGCTTCCTCCCACAGTCCAAAGACATGCTCTGGGGATCAGGTTGATTGGTAACTCTAAATTGCCCGTAGATGTGTGAATGTCAGTGTGAATGGTTGTATGTCTCTGTGTAGCCCTGCGATTGGCTGGCGACCAATCCAGGATGTAGCCTGTCTATCGGGTACATCCTGTTGGTTGGGATAAGTTGGCTGGGATGGACTCCAGCCCCCCCCGCGACCCTGCGTGCAGATAAGCGGTTTGACGATGGATGGATGGATCAATGTCAACTCCTAAATCTAAATAAATTACTAAAATCTTGAAGGATGTTGAAACGCTTTCTTGAGTGAAACGTCTTCATTCCTTTATGCATAAAAACATCCTGCAAGTCAGGGTGTCGTGTTAAACACTCATCATTACGCCTTCACTTCCTCTGACCTGCATGTTGGTGAAGAGATTATCCGAGCCGTGGAATCCCCCCTTGCAGTACTTGAGTTCTTGTTGGTTCCTATCGGGTTACAACAGAAACATTTCATCTGAGACATGCGCGTTTCTCTCGTATTACCAATAGAAATCTACGTAAGCTAGAGAGCGAGCCATTTAGCAATGCAACTATATCAAAGTGGACTGAATTCCTCAGCCTGAAACAATTTTCCTTAATGACATGGTTGCCATGCATCAAAGGAGCTGTGCAACCCGTCTCCAGCATAATGCGCCTCATTCATTACACTACTTTACTGTAAATGCTTCAACTTCTGTGTGGCAGAAGAAAGCTTTTTATTTCCAAAACACCAGACATTTACGTTCATAAACTTCCACTGCATTTGTAAATTGCAAAAGGCTTTTTCGTCACACAGTTTTGCAAGCGCAAAAACAGAAGTGGCTAATTCGATTCTCTCTCACGGTCATGCAGAACACATCTTGAAGCAATAAAGGAACGTGGTCGTCCAAAAAAACACATCAGCTGGGGCAGCTTTCCGACAGTTTTTGGAATGTTCGTTTCATGTCTCAGAGGCAGGCAGAATGTGTGTAAGACAAAAACCACTTCTAATGTTCTTCTCCAGCAAATGGAGCCGGCTGGCGGCCGCAGCTCGCTTCTCCCGTCGTTTGACGAGACATTTTTGTGGGTTTTTTGGCAAAATAATTATATCAGACGACGTCACTGAAGGGAGGGGCTTTTTAAGATACATGACGTTTAAGAATACATTTCCAAGCTCACACCGACGCAGTGTGAGCAGTAACTTACAGCGCGGCCTGCCACCCCTGCTTCATGTAGAGGTGTCCTCTCTCGATACGCTTGTGTTTGGCAAAGTGCATCCTTTTGGGGAGGTTTTCTTTGAGGTACGGCCTCATCGGCTGGTCGGCGGCCTTGCACTTCAGATGGGACACAGCAGAGGAGAATCAACACACAGCACAGGGGGGAGTGGGAATGTTTGACGCGAGGCCGAGCGAGCAGATAATTTTCCATTCTTCTTATGAACACAAAGGTCACGTTTGAAATACTTTGCATACCGACAGGTTCTTTATCAGACTCTCAAAGTCAACTGAGGAGGGAAACAAAAGGGGACACGGTCAGCCACGCCCGCTCACAAACAAACGGACACTGAGTGATGCTGGGAAGTTGGAAGGGGGAAGTTCATTTTCATCAGCAGGAACTCACAGGAAAAGTAATCCTGCGGGAGGCGACGGGGTCTGATGCGAGCGGCGGCGCCTTGGATGACAGAAAAGTCATCGGTGTTTGTCAAGTAGGTTGACACATACGCTGCTTTCTCACACGAAGCCTCCTCCATGCCTGTGAAAAAGAAATGGCGTGAGGAGTCTTTTTGGCGGAGGGTTGTGATTTGAGTTTGGTCACATGTTAGTGATTAGTGTTTATTACACGACTATACACGTGGTCTCCAGATGCCCAGAGAAACAGACCAAACTAACAGGTAAAATGACACAATGCACCGCGCGCAGGCCGCGTAGTCGCCTCACCGTGGTCTGATACGACCATGATGTTCGCACAGTGGTGCAGGTCTCTCTGTGTCAGGCCGTCCATCAGCATGCCCACAATCCGGTCCACATTCTCCAAAGCCCGCAGGACCTGAAGGCGAAAGGGCATTGAAGTTCATCATGGTAACAACTCACTTCGGCGAATAAATAGTGACGAGCAAACTCAAAGGGCCTAAAAACGGCATTGTCAGCATTAACTTGGTTTTGTCCTGCTATTGTTTCCAAAGCTGAAAGAATGAACTTCACCTGGCTGCTCGCTGGTCCAAAATGGTGTCCTGATGAGTCCGGTTCCTCCAGGTACAACGTGTAGAAGTCAGGTCTAAAATTACAAAGGCGACGGCTAAGTGAGCTTTTCAGTGTCTTAGGAGGCGACTCGCAACGTAATGGTTGTTAATGATAATGAAGGATACGTGGTACCTTTCTCCTTGAGGTAAACTCAGCCATTCCAACAGTATCAGCACCCTCTGCTCAAACGTAATGCTCCTGTTCACACAAAAATAAACATCATATTATCGCTGAGCACACTGAAACACAACTACCGCGAGCCATTCCAACATGTACATGAATTTAGAAGTGTCAGACATCATCTCTCTTACTTGTTATACACCTTGTACATGTCTGGGAAAGTGCCATCGATTTTAACATCTGAGCCAGGCCAGAAGACGGTTGCTGCTTTCTGCTTCTGACGCATGGCAGTGATCCAGACCTGAGGAGAGGAGATGAGGAGGGAGGAGAGAGGAGGATGAAAGCAGATGGAAATGGAAACATGAAAGATCAGAGGGAGCGATGGGAGGGGGGGTGGAAAAAGGTCAGGAGAAGAGATAACAGGAAGGAAGGAAGGATACGAAAGAAAGAGGAGAGGAGCCCAAAGTAAAAGGAGATGGAACAGATGAGATGTTGTTTAGTCCATTTGTCCATTAGGATGAAGTGTAATCCCTCATGGCTCAGAAAAGAATGATGGAAATCTAACGTTAAATCAACACCTATTAGACTGATCTGCGGGTAGAAGTGTTTGTTTGTGCAGCAGACTTGTAAATGTGCTTTGGCTGATGCACTTCTCACTATGAAACAATTCATTTGAGAAGTTGTCGCTCCTTTATTTTCTTTATTATTTTTTTTCTTTATTCTTCTCCCCCCGGAAAGCCGCGCGGCCGCTGAATAGAGTCTCTTCTTCTCTTCTAGCCCGTCACGCAGTTGAGGAATGAGATTTAAGAGACCTCCCATTTAAATGTGAACCACAAGGCGTCTAAACAAGCCCAACTCGCAGCCTTCGCCAGCTGCCATTCTGCGTCGGCAGAATCCATAAATAAACCAAGAAACTTACTAAGCTAAGAACATCTCAGCTGAGTGCTCCACGTGTCTGATACGGGACATCAGCAATGAAGTGAACTACTGTCCTGCCTAAAGAGTTGGTTATTAAGTTGTAGATTTCTGAGCAGTATTCACTGAACAATTTATTATTATTGTTATCAGACCGTATCGAGGTTGCACATTTTCACTTACTGGCTCGCCTTGGTACCATTTAGGGTTAAATTTCTCATCACTTCTCAAGGTGAAGAAAGCGTTTTGGGTCTCATCGTACATCTTGTTGTCCACAATCCCATGAGACTCAGGATAAAGACCCTGTAGAGAAAAAAGGGTTAGCACGGTAAGCTGTGTGTGTCCTGTGGAGGAAGTGATTCAAAGTGCCAACATATAACCTGTAACTACAGCTGTTTGTTCTAACTGCAGTCTGTTTTCAGCCCAGAGGAGTAAAAGCCGCTTTGTAAACCCCTCAATTCTGTTGCAGCCCAAAAAGTAAATGAACCCCGAGAAATAAACACACATTTGTGTCGTGGAACTTCTTTAGTTTTCTATTAATCATCTCGCGACGCCCCAGGTTTATCTTCACCGATCATGACCCCTTTCTTGCCGCTGTTGAACCAGATGTTGAGCATGAAACAGTCATTTAGTTTTGATAAGGCTTTGACAGAAAAGTGCCTTACGGTCACGATGCTGTAGTGGTTGGGAAAGGTCTTCGTGGGGTAAACGGGCCTCATGAACGGCGTTGATGTTCCCTCTTTTCCTGCAACACAGTAGAGTTCAGTCGCACGGGGACGCCGAGGAAACCGCGAGGAGCCAACGATGCGGCGCACTTACGCAGCCTGCTGATGACAGGGAGGCGGCCGCTGTGATCCTTCAGGTACTCCGCCCTGAAGCCGTCCAAGGACACCAGGATGAGAGGAGGTCTGCTGAAGCTGTTTGGCGGGGGAAGAGGAAGAAGGGAGCTTTTAGCCGACGTGCTCTCGTGAACGGCGGAACAGAACAACGTCTCGGCGGGAGACGTGGATATCTTTGGCGGCGTGCAGTAGCTCTGTGTGGAGAGAACATGGCTGCTCTGCGACCGGACAGGCGAAGAGCGAACACACCGAGGAGGAGGACGGGAGGAGGAATGAGACTATACGGATCGGCACGTCGGTTGAATCCCGGAGCAAGGCACACGGGCCCTTTTCATTGGGAGAAGGACTGTTTAATTATTTAATTAAGAGTCACAGCGTGTGACAGATATCTAAATAGCGAAGCCTCATGAGGCTACTAGATATCAACCACAAGTATGGAATCGGGTCAAGTAGTGCAGTGTGGTGTTACATGATGTCATTCATCGGTTCTCTATACATTGAAAAAGATTCTGTTGTATAAAACGGACAACATGTGTCATGTGCCTGACTAAAACCATTCCAACAATTCAATATATTTATATATTTATAATATTATAAATATTATAATATTATAATATTTATATTTATAATAACCACCATAATTGGATATTTAAGAAAATTTACATTTCGTTTTAATCAGCAGTTTTAAGATGAGTTTCCTCTTTGACTGTTATAAAAGTGCTGTTTACCAACAGAAACAACACACCCAAGATAATGAGAGACAGACGTCTCTAAATCAGAGATAAATACTGGACATAAAAAATACTTTCTAACCCAAAAATATATATATATTATTGTAAATCTCTCGGGCTTAGTACGCAGAAACACACACATGCACAACCACACACTCATACACACCACGCCTGGTTTCCGTGGAAACGCATTTGTTTTCTTTATGAAACGAACGCATTCATAAGAAAAAAAAGGAATCACGTGTTCCTCTTGTTTAAACACTGCTTAGAGACAGAGCTGGTGGAAGCCTTTCTATTTTCCTCCGTGGTCACAGTTTGATTTCCGTTATAAAATTCCTACTGAGGACAACGGGATCAACTCAGCAAAACGGTGGGAGTTACAAATGAAAAGCTTCACTCTCAACGCAAACAAAACCTTCTCACAGCACCAGAAGAAGAGTATCACGTTACCCGGGAGGACACCGTGACTGTTGAACGTCCTCCGCTGCTTGCAGCCAGAGCTCACCTTCAGCTGGGAAAGAGCAATGAAAAAAAAGGTTCATTATTATTGTGAGCGTAGTTGGAGTAACCACTACACAACATGAAGGACCAGACTCACAAAAAGACCGAAGAACCAGAACTGCTGACCGGAATGATGCTTTTTGATGCCTCGACTTTGATGGATACACGAATGCGATGATAAATGTGTGATTTCATTTCATTCTAAATGTTGTTAGATCACAGTTTGCAATAATAAAACCAGACTTTTAACTCTTTCCTTCAACATGAACATGGTTGAAGACAAACAGTTTGCTGCTCGCTACATTAGGATCTGTTAGGAGAAAAGTAAAACAAAAATCTGGTACGTAAACAAAGGACGCCGCTGTGTTTTTGGTGAGGGAACAAACGGGAGGAGCCACATTCATAAGACCAGTGTTTCTCATTGTGTAACAACAAAGTGGGACGTATTCGTCCAACCACTCGTAACACAAATCAAATAGAAGTAAAATACATCCTCCTTCATTTCCTTACGGAGCATTTGGAACAAAAACCTTGCGTCTTGCTCAAGGACATTTAGACATATTTCTGTACGCAGGAACCTCTTTCGCCTCCTCCCAAAAAACATCCTCCCAAAAACAATCCGTCAAGTCCGCTGGACGTTTGACAGAGTCGCAGCATGTGGGCGAGAAGGCCCCTCCTCGCCGCCCCTCGGGGGCCAGCAGCGCGGTTTGGGGGAGATGCTCCGTCTCGCTGTGGTCTGGAGATGCTCGGGGGGGGGGAGGGTTTCGCTCTCTGGCTTTCATGTTGGCTGGGTGGGAGATGTAAAGTCGAGGGGGAAGGCCACAGCGGGGCAGCAAGAACAGTCGCCCACAGTGGCCACTGCTGCCCCCCCCCCCCAAAAGAGAGACGTGTTTCTGCACAGCGGTTTGCCCACGTCCAACCAGAAGGGAATGTAAAGCTGCGAGGAGACGCGCCGACCTCGGGTGAACATTCCTGTCCCGCTTAAAGGCGTCTTTACGACGTGGGACGCCACCCCCCCCCCACCCCAACAGAAACACATCCTGTAAACAAATCCTTTGCACTTCCAGCAAGTAACAACCGCCTCTGGATCTCTCTTTGCCCCGACTTTATACTTCCAACTTACGCTTTCCGGTAGAGGAAGAATAAAAGAATCAAATAAAGGAATAAAAAAAGAGGCACGTTTTACGTGGCCTCCATTCTTCCACTAACGGTAGTGTTGAGATGAATCCACACGTGGGAGTCCGATCACAGTGACAGTGACAACTTACAACCGGTATTTTCAGCAGACTTCACTGAGGAAGTTCTCCAAAATGAAACCTGAGTCAGCTATTTCGGTCTGCCGCTCTCGTTGCCGCTTCATTTACTCTGTGTGTTGTGGAGTGAAGACCAAACCTCACAGAAAATAAAATACGTTTGAGATTTGGGTATAAGATATTATATTTGTATTTAACATACTGTGCTGTAAAACATCTTCTGACCCTTTTTCACATAAATCATCATTTACGTTCATAGGAATGGGTTCATTGCATTTCATGACTTACACTTATCTTTAAAAAGTAATACAAATCGTGCCGTAGATGTAAAAGGAAGACAGTGTTTACCGTTTCCATCACTGCTCTTTCTCAGTGAAAACACCACAGCCAGAACGACCGCCAGTAAGCAGAGCAGCAGAACCTAAAACCCAGAGAACAAACGTCAGGATGCTGGTTGAAGACGCAGAAGGACATAAATATCCTCAAGTGCATAAATAACAGGCAGCTAAACGCTCAACAAACACGGCCGAGGATGTTTGCATTAAAATGTAATAAAACTCCACAAAGTCAAGTACTGTGTGTTTAATTACGATCGACATTTTCCTTAAAATAAAGTTCTATTTTTTCCAATTGATCACAAACCAACATTTTACCTGATAGCTGTCAGTAACCTTGAAAACATGATATCGTGCATTATACCTTGTTAAAAGCGTCTCTTTTCACTGGCTCACTCAGTGTTTGTGACCGTAATACAGACACGATGGAACCGACTACAAATCACCACATGTTGAGAAATTATAAACAACCTGTTATATATAACAGCCATAATATTATATTTTTTATGGTAATTTTTTGGTGTCATTTATTTGATCTCTACCTCTTTTTATCTAATTAATTGGCCTTTTATTTGACGGGGGGGTTCAAAGAAGTCTGTATCGATTTCTTTAGAGGGGGGGGGGATTTTAGCGGCTGCTTATTTTGCAGCCCCCTTGTAGACACCCGCAGCAGGCCTTCAGCGGCTCACATGGTGGTTTAGTTAGTGTGGAGTTTGAAAGAAGTTGTTTCAAAAAGCCCTTCATCGTTCTGTCTGGTGACCCCTGAGATGCATCCTGGCCCCACTGGCCGGGGGCCCGACCGGAAGACACCCCCCCCATTCTAAAATCTGTAGTGTGCAGTCAGGCTTACAAGCGGGATATGCGGGAACTGTCACAGCAAGTTGTGAGTGATCCTTTTAGTGAGATTCATATAAACAATAATTCCTATAAGGGTCTGAAAATATGCTGCAATGTTTGCGCGCAGTCTGGATTCGTGCACTTACTTCAGCCTTATACGGAGAGGGAGAGAGGGGGAGAGAGGGGGAGAGAGGGGGAGAGAGGGGGAGACCTGGATCGGACAAGGCTCTTGTGAAAGTAAACAGTCTGTCTGGTGGAAACCTGCTTGTCTGACCACCTTCTCTTTTCTCTCTGTTATACACAAAACCTGGTCGGACTGTTGGGAGTCCAAACACAACAAAGTCTACACGAAGGGGAAAAAAGCACAAAGAAAAACCTTCGACAAGTCTGAACGACGAACATTAAGAGGATAAATAGTAAAAAGAAAGTGGAACTGTGACAATCACAAACAGCTGCACAGTGGGCGATGTGCGACAGGAAGGAGGATATTACGGTCTAGACTTTGCCACATGTGTCTTTAATTGGCAGCAAGCAGACGGCGGCTAAGAACACTTTGGTTCTTAGACTTTGTAAATGGTTTACACGGTTTGTTAACCGCCAGGTGATTTGTACAGACGACTCTACGGGTCCCCGAACAAAACCAAATAAAGGCAACATATTGTACATATTATGACACGTTCATTATTGTTGTTCTGTAGTATTTGCTGTTTGTCTAAATAGGCCATGGAGTTGCGACAGCAAGTGAGAATACTGACTTTCGGGCAGCAGTATTTGCCCAGAAAACTGGACAAACAAACCTCAAAGCGCCATAAATATGTTGAACGGGAAATAATTTTCTGATTTCGAATAATAAAACTATTGCATCGCTCTCCAACTGTAAGCTGAAACTTCACTATTTTGGATCCCGGGCTGTGCTGTAAAGCTCGGCTCCTGTTGAGCAGTAACAACCGTGGATCTCCTCCACCTGCAGAGACACTTTGCGGCCTCCTTCTTTTTGCACTGGGGTGAAAGCATTTGGTTCGCACATTCTCACTGGCAGCCCTGACCTGTCTCGACCCTTCGACAGCTGTGGATTACACCAAGAGAACATGATGTAGAAACCTTTGATTCCTGCTGATCATTCGCTCATTTGTGGGAAAAGTACCACATGTCTAAAAACCAGAGCCATTATTTGATGTGAGAAAATGTTTGGCACTCTTCTAATGGAAAAATGACTGAAACACATTCATCAAAACAGTTGCTGATGTAATGTTTTTTGTTGTCTTCTATTCTTGGCACTATAACGCCTTTTAAAAACACAAACAGCTTTTAGGTAAAAGGTACAGCAAAGGCACGCGTTTGACCAAACACTCCCCGCGGAGCGCGTGGGAGGAAACACCAAAAGGCGAGTCTCTCAGTCGGTGAGTGTGACCGCAGCGGGAGAAGAGCCACGTACCACGGGGATGACTTTACAGCGCGCGCTCCTCTTCCTCGCCCGTCCAGCGGTTCGCGTCTGACTCTCCACCTCTGGAGCCGCGAACAAAATCGCAGCCTGCTCGGCGGAGGGATCCTCTCCTTTGGTTACCTCCATGCCGCTGAGCGCCTCGGGACCCCCGCCGGTGTGTTGCAGGAGCGACTGAGGGAGCGAGGGAGGGAGCGAGGGAAGGAGGGAGGGAAGGAGGAGGGGTGGGATGGGGGGAATGACTGGGCTATGATGAAACCTCTGGAGCACCGCCTTGTTTCTTGATTTCTGCCAAGTTTACAAAGCAACAGGGTGTGATCAATTGATAAAGAAAGAGACCTCGGGCGGCTTCAACGCTCAGGTATTTTGCCGCAAGTTTCATTTTTCCAGGAATTTTTGTTCTGCGGTACCTTTGATCGGAGGCTCAACCCCCCCCCCCCCCCCCTCCAGGAGGGCGAAAAGCGAAGGAAATTAAACACAAGTCGTAGATCAGCTGGTTTCTGTATTGATCAAAAGGTTAAGTTAAACTCCGTGCCTGCAGTTTTAAGGGGCTTGAGTGCTGCTGCCACCTGGCGGCCGGACTGGAGCAGTGCGCTGTGCGTCCTGGTCGCTTCCCTCCATCGCTTCTTCTCGCACAAGTCACACTTATGAACAAACAAAGCACGAGGACAGACAGACACGGTATCGATGAGAGGGTCTTGGTACAGAGCGTTTGAGCCCTCTGAGGCTAATTTAGGGCTATGCGGTACATTCTAATTATTAGTTATTTTGATTACACACCCAGAGCTTCATTTCATGTTTCTCAGTTATGCGTAAAGCTCTGCTGTTGAGCTCCGTGTAAAAGCTTCATGGTCCGTTGAACCTGACACACTAGGACAAAACGTGTTCGTGTCCCACACGCTCAACCGGGTGAGTAGAATTATATCTGCATCCTCACCAGTTCTCCCAATTTAAAATGAGCTGAGTTCCAGCTCTCTGGAGCCTCTGGAGCCTCTGGAGCTGCCTCGTTCCTGGATGCCTCAATGAGAAGCACCAGATTCCCTTTGTTTTTTGTTCTTTTTACTATTATAAGTATCTCTGGCAGTAACTCTCACCCAGTTTTGTCACAAAACTAACAAAATCTTAATTATTTCACCTTTGTTTGTGTGAGTTCATATATATATATAATAGTTATTCTGTAGCAATCTGGTCAGCTACAGTATAAAAACATCCACAAGATGGTAATGTTGTGACACTTAAAGTAACACAAAATATCCATGAAGCTCGATGTTATATTAATACAACATTACGCTGCTCCTGGTCCCTGACAGCTTTAACACGGCCGTGTTTCAGCTCCGTGAGGTCGAGGTTCCCTTCTGCTCCAGTTGTGTCATGCGGTGTGATAACGGAGATCACATGTGGCTGAGCTCTGACCTCTGCTCTGTCCCCAACTCATAAACAGCCCAGGGTTCACCTCTCGTTGCTTCCCTGCGAATGTGTCCGCCCATCTCTCTGTGTTGTCAATGTGTGTGTGTGAGAGAGAGTTTGCATGCCTGAACATTAAAATCAACCGGGTTATTGTGCTGTTAATTTAAGCTACATGGGTGTCTCTGCATGTCTTTCTGCCGAGTTATGGTTATAGTGACTGTGGGAACCTCTGCGTGCGTGTGTGTGTGTGCGCTGCTCACTGACCTGCATGCATCTCGGCAGAATGTCTCCCTACAGCTGTCCCAAACACAGCTGGGCTTTGCAATGTGACCTTTGATGTTAAACTACACACGGAGCTCCCACACTGCCATGTGTGTCATGACGACTGACAAACAATCGGGAGAACACGTATATTCAAAATATATACACACAAAGGAAAGAATCCTCACAAAGCCCCTAATCAGTTTCCCTGTAAACCCGCAGCATGTCACGTAGATGCCGTTTCATATATTATATTCATATATATCATACATTCTGCATTTGATTGATTCAGATTGGCTTCTATTTACAATTAAGCCCCAAATAAGTACATTTTTAATTCATGAATAAAAACATGTTCAACCTAACAAGCGACAACGAATGCAGTTTTTTGCTGTTGCATAATCTTCTGTCTGAGCTCGGTGCCCTGAAATGAACTAGACATCTCCAGTAGAAGCACTCAGAGCAACATTTAAAATGAGGTACAGTGGCTTGAACCCAGAAGGAGGCACAACTTATGAATAACGAATTCATCAGCGGACAGTCTTCCCCATGAGATGTACTGCAGGTGCTTGTCAATCCGCCATGAGTTACTCATTCAACACGACACAATCCGCAGCACGTCACATGGAATCAGCCATCGGCTTTCTGTCATATTGGCATTTACAGTGACGCTGAAATGTCTGTTTGCTGTTGTTTTTTCCTACATTTCTATGTGGATTTGATCAAGAACTGCACAAATCAGACCTGCGTGTTTTATGAATATATTTTATACAGAAACCGTACGATGGGACGAGAAGTCCCAAAAAAAGCTCCTTGACGCCTACATCGGTCTGTTGAAGAACATAACGGGGGAGAGAATTCTAGTACTTTATTCCTGCTAATGATGCTGTGAATACGCTGAGGCGGCGTTTGACCGTTAAAAAAAGAACAAGCTGCGCATTTTGCCAAAGTTGCTTATTTATGACTGAAAAGTTTTTCTTGTTTCTCTGTTTAATTGGAATGTGAGTAGCGGCGAAATGAGATTTCGCTTGGTGTTTGTATCCTTATATTCATATTATAAGAACAAAGTGTCCATCCATCTATCTGTCTATTGATCCGTCCATGTGAGTCACTATGCACAGGCTATTTGCTGAAGTAAGCATGCTAACATGCGCACAGTTACCTAATAATCATTGTGTAGGAGTTAATAATCAGCACTGTAATTGGCATTGTCAATAATTTCATAAAAATGCATAATGAGGAACGCCAAGTTGTTGTCTTTCTTTGCACCCACATCAGTAATTTGCTCGTGATTTATAAACGTGTCCCTCGTGGGGTTTTTTGTTGGTCTATGCGTGACCTCTCTGACTTTAGGTCAAATGAAGGCCACTCTGTCAACGTTGATTGCAGACGTATGGGCATGAAAGCCGGTGACAGGACGGCCAATCACTGCTGCTGTATTCATATGGCGAGACAGGCGTTATGTAACATCACAACAGACATGTGACAGCGTTCATTAGAGAGGATGCTGTTATTAACGGCAGCAGGGGCGACGTGGACTGAGATGAAAGGTCCCGAGCAGAAGTGTAGAACTGTGTGAAACAAATGTTTCCTCGGAGCAGCAGAGGAGGATCCAAAAAAATTCAAGCGGCGATGATTTTGATTCCCAATCGTGTCGGATTTTCTCTCCTTCTGTTTGTTAACTGTTGTTAAATTGCTTGTTTGCTGTAACTGTTTGGATTGCAAGTGTACATTTCCTCTTTTGCTTTCAAAGCTTTACTCAGAAAGTGGCCGTTGATTTCTCTACATTTTTCAAATTCGAAAAAAACAGCATTTATTTAATTGAAAAAACATTATATTAACATATTTCTTGTTGGGACTGTGACACTAGGATGTTATCCATCCGCAGTTTGACTGGTCAAAGTCTCTGTAACCTCTCAGGTACAGATAATCAATACTCAAATCTGCAATTTGATGCATAATGATTTTAGGTTTGAGGCTAGAACTCTTTCCCCGTAGCATCTACATGGCAGTACGTTACTGTCTGCAGCAGCAGGTTCATCACACTCACTGGGGGGAGGAAGCAACGGAAGTGGAATCACCACTAACTGGAGGGAAAGTTTGGAATAACTATCAAACGACAGCAGGAGCAGCAGCAAAAAAAAAGTGAAAATTAAAGACTTGAATAGAATGTCAGCGGGATTCTGGAGGCCACGTTGAACCCGGTGTGATGAAGTGTGGGGGGCTGAAGGTCACTCTCGGGACGCACGGGGCTGGAGACCGGCTGGGGGTGGAGAAGCGGACTTGCCTTAATGATGTCCTCTTGTTACGGCGTTATGCAATGTGCTCTCCAGCAAGGTTTAGTCGGCCCTAAACGCCGCGGGACCTGCCAACAACGCGAAACGTGACGTGGAACTGTGTGCGAGTGTGTGCACTTTGTACATGTGTCCGTGTGTACGTATACATACTGTGTTTGTTGTACTTTCACGTGGATGTCTATGGATTCTACTTTCAATTTTCTATACAAGAAAGTGAGCTGGCGATCAGTAAACAGGACATTCGCGACAGGGCCGATCAATTCTACCTGAAAGGTGATGAATTATTGAAAACAGCTTTGTTTTTGTGCGCGGCGTGTTGTTCCTTTTTCTTCCAGCTCACTTAGTGACATATTGTGCTCAGTGACCTGTCAGTATCCGTTGCTTCTTTCTTCCCGTTACCCCTCACTGTCTTTGCGCATCACAGAGGACACATTTCACGAGAGTTGCGTCATAAAACCGGATGCTTGTTCACATGAGAGTCGATGAGTCACGGCAAAGATCACAGTTTAGAGATGCATAACCGATACGCAACGACACTTATCGTGTCTGCTGGCTTTTCCTGTCTTCTTGACTCATCTCGTCTCAAGTCTCAAATAATGAGTACAAAGGCATTTTAACAGGTGAATACAACTTTGCAGTGTTTTGTTATTCACTGAAAACAACCACAGAGAATAAAACAACAGTAGTATCAATATCTAATTAGATATTAGCTATTGGGACCTTTAGTTATGCCCGGCTGTGGTTTTTTTTTTTTCGATCCGACCATCCATCAGTTTCAAAGTGCACCACAGCTTTGGGTTCAGTGCAAGTGCCCTTTTTACCTTCCAAAGAGCGTTTTATGAAAGGCCACATTTTTTTTATCAAAGCGTCACGGATCAATTGATGTATTGGTCTGGCCGAGGCACGCAGCACTCCCCGCTAGTGAAGGTGGGATTTGTGCGAGCTCAGTCACAGTTGACTTGACTGACCGTGTTATTGAAGCCGGAGCTATTTCGGGTCTCACGGTGTGCAGCGATGGGAAAGATTGGTCAGGATCAATCAGTCAAAGATAGAGCAGGTGAGGTGCGGTGATGTCATCGCCTGTCACTGGGCAATACGGCACAACTGGGGTGATGGATTGGTTTTAGGCAGTAAGCCAGTGTGTATTGCTAGATTTTTTTCTGAAAAAGTAGCAAATAAAACATGTTGCTGCTGGTGAAAAGACCTACTTTAAGTTTCATTAAAGCAAAGCTATGGGAACTAGAAAGTATTTACGGTTTAAGGTCTTGAAATTTGACCCTGGTCAAAGTTTGGCTTGACATTTTGTGTGTCTGCGTCAAACATCATAAAAATATGTTTTTCTTTAGACTTAGACCCACATTCCATATCCAGCCCACACATAGAGCACAGATGAGCACACACTATGTGTCCTTCAGGTTTAAAACATTGCTTTGATGCAGAGGTGAACAATAAGTTCAGAGAGCAGTTATTGAGAGTGTAGCTTAAGTTCTGAATAAAGTGAGTCATGCTGAGAGCATCCCTCGTAGATGGAGAAGTTTCTATTTTATTATTTAGTGCATGTGAGTGAATACCGGGGCTTTTTACCACCAGCTGTTCTGCTCAAATATTGTGACATCACTCAGTGATGGACGTGATTTTACTTCAAAAAGCAATCAAGTTAATGCCGTGGCCTCTACGAAGGGACCCCCTGCCATGTGATGCACGGGGTGACAGTTATCATACGGATAAGCCTCTTTTCACAGAATAAATATGTAAATATGCTCTGCATCCCTCAAGGGAGAACCTTAAAAAATTGGGTAATACAGGAATCAAAAAGGACATATGACAATGGAAAAAACCCTGAATCCTCACATTTTAGTGTTTGACATGACACATGAGTTGATTCATTGACGTTTGATGATACACACAAGCAGTCAAGGGGTAATAAAAGGGAATTATGATTATTGATTAAGCAAAGATAATTAGCAAAAATAACAGCTTAATGGCATCACTTATTTGTTGATGGGTTAAGGAGTCATCATGTGTTAAAAGATGACAAAAGAGCAGAAATACCTGATTAAATGTTCTTCCAGTGAGTATTCCTTTACCACGAGGGTTCACACGGTGTCTTCTCCCAGCGGGGGGGGCACACAGGGACGTGGTGACGTAACGGGAGGGGAGGAGGGAGGAGGTGGGGGGGGGGGGGGGCGTGGTGCTGAACGAACAGCTCCCCGGTCTCATAAAGTAATCAGAGGGGCTCGTGAGCTCCGTCAGAGGAGCGTCCAGCCATGAGCCCGCCGAGCTCCCCGTCCTCCAGACCCGCGCCGACAGCCCGCCCGTCGCCCTGACGCGCACCGCGGCACCGCCATGAAGAGGCAAAACGTGAGGACCCTCGCCCTCATCGTCTGCACCTTCACCTACCTGATCGTCGGCGCCGCGATCTTCGACGCGCTGGAATCCCGCAAGGAGACGAGCGAGAGGGGAGACCTGGACCTGCGCAAGGAGAAGCTGCTCAAGACCTTCAACCTGTCCACGGAGGACTTCGACAACCTGGAGGAGGTGGTGCTGGAGCTGAAGCCGCACAAAGCCGGCGTGCAGTGGAAGTTCGCCGGCTCCTTTTACTTCGCCATCACCGTGATCACCACAATAGGTGAGGACACTCGGTGAAGTTCATGTACCGGGTGGAGCGTCGGTGGTTGGTTCGGTTTGAGTCGGAGCCCACGTGCCATCAGCTGCACGGGACACCGAGCATATTTAACATTCATACGTATTATTGCATTTCTATGGGTAGATTGAGGATATTTGTAAAGTTAAAAAAAAGCAACACTGTAATGTAAAATACTCCATTTCCAATTTAAACCCTGCATTGAAAGAGAATTGATCAGAAATAGACGTGCACATAATGCCAGCAGTGAGTGTTATTTGGATTATTTATTATAGCCTATATCGTTTCAATAGTACATTTGTTGGTGTGCTTTTGTTGTTGTTTGTAAAATCTGAACTGTCTGTCTGACAAATGTTTCAAAATGTAGAGAAAAAATATAACAAATTAAAAAATATATACTTAAACAAAGGGAACATGCAAGTGATACTTAATTTTATGTTCTCTCATATGAAACATGCTTGTAGAGAGGAAATACCATAAAATGACATTTTATTCATAAATTCAACAGGTGCACTATATATCCTCTATACAATATGATATATACCATAAACGATAAGTCTAATCACACCGCATTCAAACTTCTATACTTGCAGGGTCCCTATCTGGTTAGAATAGCCACAGCAAATATGTTAAAAATACCATAAATATAATTTTAATATTCAGTTTTAAAACCCTTTGCAGTGTTAACATGGTGATATGACACCTTTGTTTAAATTGAAGCCAGACAAACAAGCTGCTTGCCTTTTATACCTCAGCATTTTATAGAAATGTAGTTTTCAAATGGCTCGCATCAAAGTCAGAATTGTAGCAGCAAAGTCGAGTACTCGAGAGGACATGCTTCTCTCCAAACGTTGTACTGTTCGTTACTCAAGGTTGTTTTTGGAGAAGACGCTCAAGGAAGCTAAGTAATGAGACATTGATTTGCCTCTTCTCTTTCGCGCTTACTCATTATTTCTGCCCCAAAAGCTTCTGCCGCACCCCGAGGCTCCCAGCTCTTTACTCTATTTCTCACACCGCCTTCCATCTTTGTTATTTCACTCCAACCTCTGCTCTTTGCATAACTGTAGCCACAACTCCAGGCTGGATTTAGTCAGACGTGTTAAATATTGGAAGATGAGAGCAAGCAAAAAGAGAAATTCGCACTGTTTACCTCTGTCTGGTCATTTATCGTTTTTAAAGTTTCCACTTTTAAAGCATATTATTCGTAAGGTCAAGATTCAATCAGGTGTTTTCACCGTTATTAAGGAACACATTGTCCTTTTCCTCTCTTGTATCCTCCGTTATCGCCTCTGAGCCTTCCACTTGTGTTTTAGTGGCCAGTTGAGAGTTGTCAGTGGTGACCTTTGACTTGTAACCCTATCGGATGGAGGCGACTAATTGTTCGCTAACCCGAGCCCGGGTGTCTGTACCGGCGCTCTGTGATTGTGAGCCCGGAGGCCACTCCTAACACAGTGATTGGCGTTCCGGGCCCGCCATTACGTATTAATGACAACACCAGGGCCCTCGCTGTTCCGCTGTCCTCCCGGCACACAACGTTAACACTTCAGATACTGTGGTCCACACTCAATGTACATGCATCGCCGCTCCTCAAGGTCGGCCACGGGGCCCCGTAGAGGACGGGTGACACGCTGTCTTACAAACAAGACCTGGCTCACGTCTTGTTTGCGTTGCGGGACGTCCTGTATGACATCTGACGAGGGCGGGATCGTGTTTTTTTCTCTTCACGTTGACATACTGTAGATGTCATTTTAGGTAAAACAATATCATGTGACAGCCTGTGTACTCAACCTTATGTAAATATAATTACACACACACACACACACACACACAAAGCTAATGTTTTTCACCTACCTCTGGTAGTATGAAAACATGCAGAAAGTTATGAACGGTGAAATTTATTTGACCACCACCAATTCCATGGAGGGGAACAGAATTCTGACATTGAATAATTACAACCCGTAACGTGATCTCTGCAGAAACCAACCACCCAACAACAGATTTGATTGGAAAAACGTACCTGCGAAGGTTTAGTTCTTTAGTTCTTGTTTCCTTCCACAACCGTCCCCTACTGTACCTTGTTATGGCGTATTTGATTGCAAATTGTCCATTTTTTATGCTTTTGTGTTTTTTAACTCATGTTGACACAGTTCTGTCCACTTATTTTCCAAGTTAAAAGGATAATTTACATTTAAAAACATCTTAGTTACCTACGTGTGTCAAGCCACACAGCTTTTTAATTTTCTCTGCAATCTGCAATTTCTACCAAATTCAATGGAAGGGGACTGAATGTTCTTTCTGGAAAAGCTGGCAGGATTACTTTATACAATCTAGTTCTTTCTAGTTGTGGAGAATAAATCTGGCAAAATATTCCTCTTTGACTCATGACCTAACGGCTGGTATCTAATCTCTTGAAGTCATTATCCTTCCTCGTTGGCTCATAAACAAAACCTTATTTCAAAGTCACCATATGGTTGTGGTTAGAAAAAAAAAAATCCCTCCTGCATTTTGTGAATCACCTCGTCCAAAGATCAATTGGCATCATTGCAGATTCGGTAGACATGACCTCAGTGTTTTCCATAGAAGAGCTCATCGTCTACAGCCTGTGACACTTCCTAATTGCAGGACCTGAGTATAAATGCATTCAGGCACGCGATCCATACGAGGTGCTATAACCCCGACGCAGCGTGTTAAAGCCCTGCACTCTGAGGAGGAAATCCGCATGTTGCTTTGCAGACAACAGTCCTCCAACCCTTTTTTCAAGAGGGTCTTGGATGAGAGCGCCGAAGCCCTTCCAGCCCTGGTTTAGTCGCTCCGTCAGCAGCAGCGCATCGGTTGCTGATGTGCTGGAAAGCCACCAAATGTGGAAGCACATTAGTGTGTGTGAATGTGCAGCGGGCTGTCGTTGGAAAAAAAAAAAAGATCCTCTCTGGGTTCAGCGCATCTAACTTTTCTACACGCGGACATGCAATGAATAAAATACATGGTCCTTTTTTTCCTATTTTCACATTGACTCGTTGACTCGCCACCAGACGTGTGAATCATTTACTGCCATTGAATAATTAGAGGTCGGGATCCTGAATTTTTAATGGTAATTAGTTACATTTGTATCATCATTATTCAGTCAGCTTAAGTGAGTGGTTGAGGGCACAAAAAATATTCATCTCGCCAGCTGTATTCCACAAGGACTCCCACCGTCACGAGGCAGAGAGACCCATGGGGGGGTACTTCAGCTCTTCAGGTGACAATACAAATAAACATACAGCTGCCCGAAGGCTGTAAACGTGCTTCGCTTACGCTGTAGTTTTCATCAGCATATCCAACAGAAGGAGGATCTTTCTGAGACGCTGCTCGTCTGTCCGCAATCGACGTGGATTGGAGCCAAATGTTTTCCCCAAATACAAAATCACTTGCGACCCTCTGACCTTTTCTCTGGTGCCACCATGGGGTTCACATTTGTGGCTCAGAGAGGAGTGTCTTATGACCAAAGCGATTCATGGAACGTCTTTAACATCAGCAGTCTTCACCGGTCTTTTCATTATTTTCGTGTGCATTTTGTATTTTGTAAGTATTGCAGTAGAAATGCTGAAAGCTTGATGCGTTTGGCTGAAGGGGATTAAGGGAACGCCTTTCCTGAATAGTCTTTGAGGTAGTGAACTCATGCGACGGATCAGCTGCTTCTTCTCGTATTCTCATAAAGAAACAAATGCTTGTCTTCGTCTCCGGATTGAATGAAATTTGGCCAACGGCTGACAGGAAAGCACTGAAACGAATTGGAACGAATTCCTGAGGACCCTTTCGTCTTATTGCTCTCGTCAGCCAACTTGTTTTGTTTCCTGAAGGCAACAGTCAATTATTCTCTATGTCGACGTGACTGGTCCACAGCGACAACTTCTGAGCAACCGTTGCTGTAGCCGATATTCACACTTGCACTGAAATTAGATATTTTTAGAGGTAATTAAAAATTTGCTTTGAGCATTGATTTGAAATGCAGGAATTGCCAAAAATATGAAATACAATCTGTAATGTGGCAATAACATCTTTTGGCCAAAGAAAAGAAAAATCTCTGTTTATTCATTTGGTGTGCACGTTAGCAACATGCCAATTAAGAAAGAACAGCGTCATTGAGTCGGTGCTGCCTCAAGCTGACGGGATGACTCATGTTTGACTGACTCTTTGTGTGATTTGAGAGTTTGTGTCACTAAGGTTACAAGAAGACCTCGAGTTAAAAATAAAGGCAGCTATTAGTGTGCAGCCGAGTTGGGCTGAAACTAAGTTCACGCGCTTGTGGAAACTCTGGAATTGGAATCTTCTGTAGTAACAACGTTCGTCCCGTGTGTGATCGAGGTGAGATGTGTCACGTCGCGTCAACACGACAAACAGCGTAATACATCACATGACCAGAACATCTTTGTTTGCACGTAGAAAAGGGAAAAAAAGAATTGTTTGAATACGCCATCGATGTTTTGTGGGAATATGTAAGCGGGGTATGTGGATTCAACCGTAACTAACAAAGGACTCCACTGGATATTGCCGGCTTTAGGGGCGACAAACAAAAGCTTTGTGCCACCTGATCCGGTCCGGAGGGCCAACTCACAAGATGTAAAATGCTGAAACTCTGTCTTTGACTTTCACATGTGGGTATGTCAATTTAATTATAATTGAGAAAACATATTGAAGATAACTGAATGAAGTTAAGAAGAAGAAAATATATTAAATAAAATAAAATCTTAATAAGGGACTTTCAACATTTTTGCAAAATGCACATAAAATGTTCCCACATTAACTTATTGTTCCACGCAGAATGACATGCTGACCCGTCCGTCCACACACACATTCACCGACCTCCTTTTATGGACTGAAGCTGAGAATTCCCACTGTGGAGAAGGACCCTGATTGATTTTCCATCGGCGTTGTTTCCATGGAGGCGGCACGACATTCCGTGCCGCCTCCGCGCAATTGGCTGTTAACACGTCGCGGCCAGTTCA